GTGGTTGGATTTGCGCCGAGGGAAACAATGCCCAAGGACCCAGTGCCTCCGCTGGAGGATAGTTATATACTTGAGCTTCCAGCTGTGCCGCAAAATGACCTAGCCTCGGTCGTCCAGTAGTGGAGCTGGATGGTTTGTCTTCTCGTTCCTGTACGCTGAAGCGTCTGAATTGTGTTGAGCTTGTTTTACAACGTTTATTGGAGGTGTCTGGTATGGTTGAGAGGAGGGTATGAACGAGTGGCTATAAATCAGTGTATTTAAGCAGTGCATAGAGAAGAGGAAATTTCCCATAGATTTTCCAGCTACATCCTGTAGAGCTTCTCTAAATGAAGCAGCTGGCTATCAAGAAAACATTTTCTTCGGAGATTCCCTGAGTCGTAAGCGTGGACTGCCTTCCAACACAGAACACAAACAATTCTTCCTCATCCAAATATATACGTTATTGGCATTAAGCATTACTATACTACACCACCCCATCCTCTCATCCCCATACCCCCCCGATCCCAACTATACAACCTACTCCCCAAACCGCTGCGCCCAACCAGTGCGACCTCCCCGCCATCCTCTCCGCAGCCCCAGTGTACGATACCTCACTCCCAGTACTCGTCTTCGTAACGCTGACCGTTGAAATCGCCTCTGTCGTCGTCCCGACTACAATGCCCGTCCCAGCATCCGAAATCACCGTCCCGCTAATCGTCGACGCAGGCCCGCCCTCCGTCAACGTAATCCCCAACTCCGGGATGATGATACTGGATCCGGCATCTATCACCGTGTACGTCTTCCCTCCAATCGTGATCACGGCTCCCGGCGTTGGTACGACAGTTACTAACGGATCCACAACCGTGATTGTGGAAAAGGGGACGGTGGAAGTGCCGATTTGGATTCCAGTCCCGGCATCGGATACTACGGTGCCGCTGATGGTAGACGCGGGTCCGCCTTGCGTCAACGTGATGCCGAGTTCAGGAATGATGAGACTGGATCCTGCGTCTATGACTGTGACGGTTCGGCCGCCTATCGTGGCGACAGCGCCGGGTGTGGGATGTGGTGTCGGCGCGGCAGACTGCCCGATACCGGGGACACTGGAGAAGGCGAGCGTCGATGTAACGCCAGATGATGGATCGATGATAACGAGGCCTGTTCCGCTCGGCGCCTCAGAGACTACGACGCCGTTGGGGAGCGTGACGGGTGGGCCGCCTGCACTTATCAAGGTCCCGTCTACGACGATTGAGCTGCCACTTGGGCCGGCAATGGCGGTTGCGGTGATGGGTTGGCCGTTTGGTGCGGTGAATACGACGCCGGCAGTTGGACGGGGGGCGTTGGGGGTTGGTACGTTGATGGTGGAGGGGGCGGGAGCTCCCGGCGCGGAAATAATGATGTGGCCTGGGTCAGCCATGGAGATGGAGGTGCCGCTGACGGTTATAGCTGGGCCGCCGGGGGAGAGTGTCTTGGACGGTCCGACGACGACACGGGTGGGATCTGTGGGGTTGACGACGATAGGGGCGCCGCCTACAGTACCGATTGTTGTTGGTCTTGGAGGATTTGGGTTTTGGCCTGGTGCTGGAGGATTCGGATTGTTTGTGACTTTAGGGGGGTCGTTGGGTTTTGGCGGATTTTGCGGTGTATTGCCTCCTGGCTGGCTAGGGCTAGGAGGGGGGTCTTGCGGTTTAGGGGGGTCGGGTTGCTTCCCTGGATCATCTGGGTTCCCCTGAGATGGTTCTGGGTCAGGGGGATCCATAGGCTTGCTTGGTTGTGGCGGGACGTTTGTCGGTTCCATAGCGCTTTGGGGAATCGATTGTCCGGGGGTCGGTCCTGGGATAGGATCCTTGCTAGTGATAGTAGCAAAGACATTGCCCACAGACGATAGCGCTCGCGGAGGGTCATACAAGCCATACAGGGCAAGATCACAAGTAGACCATCGAGGATCCAAACGCCGAATCGCGGGAGGTACAGCGAGCCATGGATTGTACTCTCCGTTCATACTGGTACATCTACTCATTACACATTCTGGACCTGCACCCCATGCAGACCACGGGTATGGAGATGCCAGATCGTTGAAATTGAACGAGTAGGCCGAAGGCTCGAAGTCGAACATTCCAGAGTGTACACCTGTACCAATGGGATACGCTCTCTGCGAGAAGAGCTCGGATGGCGCCATGGTCAGAATCTCTCCACCATGTTCTTCCCCCACCTCAACTGCAGTGCCCGACCAAGTGCACTTGGCATTGATACGATTCAGTGAGACATACACATTTCCTGAGAACCATGTCGTATTTCCTGGTAGAACAGTGTACGGACCTGTTGTAATAGGTGTCCAAGTGAAATTCGTTGGCGGCCTCGTAATGAAGCCTGGTTCCGCCGGTGTCGTTGCACAAAAGTCCCTCGTGGCATTAGTCTGTGCTGGGAAATAGAAGATCTCTACTCGGTCACCATTAATCTGGCATTGTGCGCCTGCTGTGCACGTCGGTTGTTCCGTCCTGCAATGTGGTGTATACGGCGTATTGGTGAAATTGAGCGTGTGTTGAATTGTGACAACTGGCCCTCCTGGAGTCATTTTGTATCCATCTTCAATAAATAAACCCCCTGGTTTTGGTGTGGTGAGAATGAGGTACAGGGGTTTCTTGTAGTATGATTTGATGACCTCGGTTCCTAGAGAAATTGTGGCGGGAGATGGTGCAGCAAAAGTGGTTGTTGAGCCTTCTACGACCCACCAAGAAGCGCCTGGACCAAGTGATACTCTGGTGTTTGCCTGGGCAAAGGACACTGCTGCGTAGGCACTGGAGGCGGAAGTATATGTCGACCATAATCCGCGGCAATCATCCCAGCTTACTGTGCAATTAGGATCTTTGAGCTGTGCCCACCCTATACCTTGAACAAGTATAACGGTTGATGACGGGAGAAGGACTGTTGTAGATGTTGCAGTAGGGGCGGAGGTGATGACTCGGGGGTGGCCATCACAGAGAGTGTAGTATGATGTTGTGTAGTACGTGCTAATTTGTTCGTTAGTATTAACGCGATAGCGTCAGGGCTGATTGGGGTGCTGACTGGACTTCAATGACAGTTGTGCTTCTAATCACAGATGTGCTGTACCACAGCGAAGCTGACACCGTGAGAAAATCCGTATTGACCGAAGTGAAACTGAAGTATGCATTTTGACATTGCAGCGCATATTCACTACCTATCAACTGGTCAGCATAGATGCGAAATCTTGTGATATTAAAACTTACCAGTTCCAGTTGCAGGAACGGGTTGCGAGAAGTTACCTGCCCACGGATTCACGTATGTTGCTGAGCCAGTAGGTGTCGGAGATGCTGTAGAAGCTGTCGAGTTTGCCGAAGGGGTTGCCGATATGATGGTTGCGCTCAACGATGCAGAAGCAGTACTACTACTTGACGCGGGCTTAGAACTGCTGGTGGTGATGGCGGCGCTTGTCGTTAATATCGAAGACGACAGAGAAGACGACCAGGAGCTGGAGGAGCTGGAAGACGATGAGTTTGACTGAAGATTGGAACCGCTCGAAATCTTAGAACTGGAGCTCGAGCTCGAACGAGCGCTTGAAGCTGGTCATTTGGTTAATAGCAGACAATTCGAGCGGACAGACACACACAAACCAGACTGAGCCACAGCGAGCGACACCCAACTCAAAAGAGCGAGAAAGGCTTTCATCTTGACAAACCCTGCCAATAATTCCAGGCAAGTTACAAGCCAGGAAATCCACCTCTTCTGAAGCTCAAACGACGAGACAAAGGTTGAAGTAACCAGCGATCATATCAAATCAATCAATCAATCAACCACCACGAGGCAGACTCTTCGATATTGAGCAGCCGATCCCCACCGACTGTGCACCACGTCCCAGTACCACATGAAAATCTCCCACCAACAGCCCCTAACCAGCCCTGCGATATTAAAATCCCGATGCATTATCCCCACAAGGCCCTTTAAGCTTAACCGTCAGGATCCAAATCCCGGGCACCATCGCGCAACCATCACGATTTGAGTAAAAGCCCGCCCTGGAGCCGCGCATCATCCCGAAGGCCATTCTCGACCTGGTCTAGAGGCGTTCGTAGATATTAAATCGACATGGATCGTAGCCAACGGTTAATCATCTAACAACAGGAACAGAGGAGCATTTAGCCAATGAAAAAGGAAGGGTGGTCCGAAACAGTCAGCCTCTGGACCGCAAAATAAATTGCTCGTGCGTTTTGGGATTGCAGATTTTGGTGTGCGCCGACGACAGGCGGCAAGGGATTCCGGGCGTTTGGGGGCGGTTTATAGAGGGGGCCTCGGGAGTACAAATATTGTACAGCCTCGCTTTTACTTTGAGTTGCAGGTAGTAGGATGTGGAGAGATAGTAGCAAGGCTCTTTTGGGGTGGTTGATTCTAAAAGTGTTACCTCTGGTTAGGGAGACGTACTTCTAAGGCCCTCTCTTCCTTGCTCTTGCATGATGAGGAACGGCGGATGAAGGGTTGCGGAGGTGTTCCCATCTTCAACACCTGCTGAAAGCTTGCCTGCCGGAATAGGTACGAGGGCTCGACGCCACGGTTTCTATGAAGATTTTCTCCGCAGCCGCACATTCCGTTATGGTCGCGCATATACGACGATCTGAGCAATTCCTGGATAGAGTTAACTAGATGCATGAGTGAGCATGAAGATGTTGAATTGGAGGCAGGCATCAGGGCTCAATTTCCACGAGTCATAATTGTCCATACCCAACCATGCTCAGATATACACACCTAGTCTTGACCCGCACGTGCTCAAGCTATCAAAAGTAACCGCAGCACATAAAATATTGAATCTAGAACATAAAAGCCGACCATAGTTTTTCCTTGAATGTATAGAAGAGTTGCGTTGTGGTCTATGTTGTGTTTCCTCGATTCCTCCTTGAGAGACTCCAGAGCCACATGGTGATTCACCATTGCAAAACAATCTGTTAGGGGTTCCGCCATCTGATGGGTCATGAACACAGTCAATGCACGCAAAAACAAAAAAGAAAGAAGTGGTTCGACATTGACAAGATTCGAACTTGCGAGGCCGAAGCCATTAGATGACTGAATGACATAATTCAAGTCTAACCCATTAACCACTCTGGCACAATGTCTTATGCAGAAGATAAGAATTATGACCTTGAGTTGCAATATAACGAAAGACTTTCCTCACTCTGTCACATTTTAAGGGAGTGTGGTTCTTGAAAGACTCATAACGAAGTGCGGGGCATCCAGCATAGCACGCTTATCGTCGAATCAGATCAGGATTATGCTAGGGGTTGAGTTCAGCTAGCCCGAACCAACCACAACTGCAACCACAGCCACACTAAAGTCTCTCCTTCTCCTTCCCACTCAACGCGTAAGTATCGTGTTTCTCGTCGTGCATAACAGTGCCTTCATCCTCAAGCTTCACCAAAATCTGCAGAATCCCCCTTTCAGCAGGCTCCCACAGATTCTCTGGATATCCCTTGTAGATAACCTTCACAATATCCATACTGGTCCATCCACCTTTCTTCTCCCCTTTCAAGACGTCTATTACCTGTCGCTCCCTTAGTTGGCGATGCTTGATATACTCGAGTACTTTTGCGGGTCCATCTTCGATGACTGGCCCGTGACCCGGGTATGCACGACCTTTGAATGCCGTAGACATAGAGGAGAGGGAAGACATGTAGGTTGCGAGATCCTCGAAGACTGCAGTTCCTTGCCCGAGAACGTTGTCGGCGGTGAACATTGCGTCTTCTTCCTCGAGTATGAAGGCCATGTGATCGGTTGTATGTCCTGGGCAGTGAAAGGCTCGCAGCGTCGCGCCTTCAACTTCAAACTTCTGGCCGTCATCGATGTCCTGCCATTCGTCGTCCCCTTGGTCCTTTTTGTGAATTTTGGTATCTGGGGAGTGCTTCAGGAGGTCTGGGACGCCTTTGATATGATCATGATGCCAGTGCGTCAGGAGTGTCTTCTCGATGACTATGTTCTCGGAAGAGAGCACAGATTTGATCGAAGCAATCCATGCCGGTTTGCCTTCGCCGGTATCAATCAGAATCCGCTTCGGACCCTGACCGACGATATATGTGTTTGTCCCTGTATGATCTTAGCACACTATTGATCATCTTTGCATCCAATACATCTACCCTGAAGTGTAAACTGTATTAAACTGTCAGCCTTGGATCTCGTATCTATCCCCAAGCATCCAGCAATCAAACAAACACCTTCGCACTTACCTTGTTCGGATTCCCACCCAAGACCCTAATCACCCTCTCACTCAACTTCTCGATCGTAGGCAAGGGTACCAGCTTCTCTGCCATTGTAAGAGACAGTCTGTGGTACGTGGAGTAAGCACGCAATCGCCATGGCGGGCGCATTGTAGAGGTGGACAGTGTGCCAGGGAGGGGCCTCGGCTCGGAGTTTAGGCGGTCGCTTATTCATAGCGCCGAAGTGGGAGAGACCAGACCAGACTATCACCTTTTTGGCGTCCTATAAACTACACTCAAGCCTATCGCACACGATGGCATCTCTAGGCGACGACGATGACGATACACCGTAAGTGTTAGACTATGAAAACGTGTGGATTGAATCTGAATATATGGGTAGACAGCTCTCGGCCGACACGCTCGACATCCTAAAAAGGTTTTACAACGAGCGTGATACACGGCAGAAACAATTTGAAGACTTGAAAGCTAAGGCCGAAGATGAATTCGATGCGGATCAGAAACTCTCCATGGAGGTTTTCACAGAAGATTGGAATGCTAGCCAGTTCTGGGTATGTATTACCCCGAACTAGAAGAAGAAGACATGAGATACTGATATCTGTACACATAGTACAACGACGAAACTGCTACTGCTTTAGCACGACAGCTTCTAGACGGAGCTACAGATGATACCAAAATAGTGGTTGTATCAGCTCCAAGCACATTCATCCAACTCAAGAACCTTTTGGTGAGTCTCTCCACCATGCCCTTCTCTCATGCCCCTCCCTACACCAGGAAGTCAAGATCTCACCGCCAGAACTTCCCCACTGTTTACCCAAATTCCCGCTTCCACACTAATACAATCCCCAAAGGCAACCGAAGAATACAAAATCCGTCCCCAAATCACCCTCCTAGAATACGACGACCGCTTCGCCGTCTTCAAAGAATTCCACCACTACGACTTCGAGCAGCCCCTCAAGCTGCCCGTCGAGCTCAAAGGCTCATTCGACCGCATCATCTGCGACCCACCATTCCTCTCAGACGATTGCCAGACAAAAGGTCCGCCTTCTCCCTTATTCCTATGTAAATTGTCTTTGAAAATCTTCGAAGCGCTGACGACAACTAGCCGCCCTTACCGTCCGCTGGCTGGCCAAGACCTGGACTTCCGCTTCCGATGAGAACGGGTTGAAATTGATAGTATGCACAGGCGAACGCATGGAGCCCTTGATTTCGAAGCTTTATGCCAAGGTTGGGACGAGGACAACTTCGTTCGAGGTTGTGCATGCGAAGGGGCTAAGCAATGAGTTTAGGTGCTATGCAAACTTTGAATGCGGGGCTTGGAAGTGGGTTTAATGCGAGTTGGGGCGGGGTGTGAGTATTGGAGTGATTTGAAGGGGGGAGGAGAGCGGGGGTGTGGATGATAGAGGCTTTTTTAAGAGCTTGATTAAGATATTGAGTACTTTTATGAAGTAAGTGAAGCAAGTGATGAACCCATGGGCCATCGTTCATAATGTGGTCGTAGTTAAAAAGCTCGAAAAGAGAGTATGCGAGTGTCACATCACAGCAGGTAGGCCAAAAAGTTTCCAATCAAAAAGTTTCCATTAAATTGCCTTCGCATGCCATAGAGGCTTGGTATCATACAATCAACCGAGAAGCATCATTAAAAGCAGCCGATTGTCCCATCTGTCGTGTGCCATGATCGTAAAGGCATAGCACATTTAGTGCTTGTCGAGGCCGAGAGCGTTCTTGGTCTTGTCCAAGATGGAGCCTCCGGAAGAACCGTGGACCTCGCGATCCTTGGAGCGGCCGAGCTTGTCGCTGGTCTCCTGGCCGATACCCTTCTGGCTATCGGGCTGAAGGCCACGGGCCAACTGTGTGATTGTTAGTTGTGAAGGGACAAGGAAGCGCTGCAAAAGAGCGTACCTTGTCGGTGCCATCAGTGAATGTCTCGGTGACCTTCTGCTGAGTGGACTTGGTCGAGTCGGGGGTAATGCCCTCACCGATCTTGGTGTGGAGATCTTTGCGGCCGGCGTCAGACATGTTGATTGTTTGGTGGGGAGTTGTTGTTTTGGTTTGGTTGTTGTGTGTGGTAGTAGGTTGGAGTTGAAGTTGAGAGTGTGATGGAGAGTAAATAGAGCTGGACCCTGGGGTGTTTATATATCCCTTGAGGGAGAGCTGCTCGAAGAATTTACGTCATTGCGGTCTGCCGCTTTCAGCAAGTGCAACAGAGCCCAAGGGCGTTGTTAGGGATATCACGGGACGTGTTCGAGCTTGTGCTGGAGCTCAAACAATAATGAGGTCGCAATTGACGTCGCGATGACGATGTACGGTCTCACTTAACAAAGGAAGCCAATCAAAGCAGCCCAGATTTCAGGGAGGAATCGAATTCAAACAAAGGCCATGAGGGGTGTCCAGGGGGGTTACTGTGCGCTAACGCGGGTAGGATAAATGTGCCACTCGCTACGTCATGAAACGGCGGGGCGCGTGGCGGTGCGCATCTCGGAAATCAGGGCAGCGAGCCCAGAATGCCATGTGAAAATGTGGCATTTGATGCCAAGTCCCATCTGTCGCCATCTTGTGCGCCATGTACGATTAATTGCCGGCCCTCTTGTGAGATGCACGAAGTCACAGCTGACCTTTGACATGCAGTGGGGATCGAGCATTCGTATGCCCATCCTCGATTGCGAGAGAATGGGCCTATGAGGCAATAAACACCGAGTGACCAGGTTGCACGAAGCTGAGGTTAGTACGGCGAGAGCATCCGCATGGCGTTTGTTGGCAGGCATCGGAAGACTGCTTTGCGCGAAGCTCACGATGTTGAATACAGTGAACAAGACCATAGGTAGGCACTAGAGGGCTGCACGATGTCAGCTGGAGAGAAGGCGTGAAAATTGTTGAACAAGAAGCAAACTTTCCCCACATCTCTCTGCTCATTTGCTGTTGCGGGTGGGCGTCATGTCTCTTCCCGATCAGTTCGCCGCAACGCAGATGAGTCTTGGAGCTTTGAGGCTGACATGCTCGGGATGAGTTCCCACGAATAAACAGGAATGAGATGATGGGGGGGGGAGGCTCATCTCTGTTCATACATACTCTGTCCACGTTGTCAACACTCGAGCCGTGGTAAATTAATTGAACCTGTATAGAATGAAACTCCAAAAGAAACTTCTAAACCGTCAGGCTTCCGGCGCTCCATGAAGTATCCAGTATCCGTGCACCGTCCCCGAGGGGCTGACTGCCTGCCGTCAACATCGTATGAACACGGTTAGTCAAGACCAGCATCCAAGATGAGCGTTCTGATTGCGGTCTCGTTGTATTTGGGTATGGATTTAAATATCCAGATAGTGGCGGAAACTTCGACGTCCTTCTAGGAACCCTTCCAGGGCGAAATGTCCATATGCAGCACAGCAGAGTTCTTCACATCTCGTTGTTGATCGGACGAGACATTGACGAACGCAACTGGATCGTCCGCATGGGCAGCTTGGTTTCACCCTGCGAATGGCCAAGAGAGCAACGAGAGACGGACGCCTACCACGAACAACAGCGGACGGAGCTACGTTGCTCGCTAAAAACACAACGGCAGTCTGTGCAGCTCGGCGACATCAGTCCACGGTCAAGCGGCCGAGGGGGGCTTGCAAATAATAAGGAGAATCGCGGCTCGCCTGCTGCCACGTCGCGGCACGAAAGGAAGAGGTTGGAGAAACGAGATCGAAGTCCCATCAAGCCCCCCGGTCCTGCAGCAGCGTGCCACTCATGCGTCGCTGCACGCGGGCCAAGCCCAGATCAAGGGGTGGGCGGGCTGTGATTGGCTCGGATGGGGGCTGGGACGGGAGTGACGTTCCCTCTGGTTGGTTGCCAGGGGAGCGGCTCTTTGTTTGTATGCGACCAGCCTCCTCGCCCAGCCACACACATACCAACCTCACACATTTTTC